ACATCAGACTCCCCCGGAGCCACAGGACGGTCAGCTCTGAAGGGAAAAACACCTTTTAGAAGGACATTCTTTTCTCCTCAAGGCCCCTCTCTCCCCCTCTCCCGCCCTCCCCTCCCTCCTGTGGCCAGCGGGTGAGCATGGCATCGCTCTTCGGTCTGTCCTTTCTGCAGCTGCTCTGAGCATAAAGAACCCCAGGTGCTTGTGGCGATGACCACACAGACGAAAGCACTGGGTCTTGTTCAGACAGCTGACCTGGGCCATCAGCTGGGACCTCTGAGGAATGGAAACCGACTTCCCGCCCACCTGTGAGATGCCCCCCCCCCCTTCAGGACACCCCTGCGGTGAGGAGCTCCAAAGAGAAGCGATTACAAAAGAACAGGATGCGCTGATGACCTGAGAGATGACAGTCTGGGTGGGTGAGGAACCTGACATCCTTAGCGTGACCCACCACTGAGTCACCCACCCCTTTAAGCATCGGATGGAAGATACAAAGCCTTTCCCCAGAGAAGCTGTAAAATACACACAGGAATAATTTGCCTGAAGTCACTTGTGACTCATTGACACACACACCCCAGGACTGCATGGACCCCTGGCCAAGAATTCCTGTTTTAGAGGCAAGTTAGAAGCAGCTGATGACAGGAGTCCCTCTGAGGAGGGGCGGGAATTCGATCTTAACTACAAACACATTTCCCAGGGCACAAGGACACGCACAGCCAACAGCTGCAAAAGAAGTGGGTGAAGAACGGATGCTCCCCGAGGAAAACGTTTACCTCACGGGGTGAACCCTCGCGGAGCACCCCCGTTTATGCTCACTGGCGAGGGGAGAACGGGCCCCCTGAACTGCAATGGCTTGGTCCATCTGGAAGGGATTAAACACATCAACAGAAGAACTCAAGCTCACAAAAACAGTTCGCCTTGGTAAATATTTGTTTTGTTTTGCTTCCTCCTGCGGGCTGATAGTTTCCCAAAGGCCAAGAACTCCTGCTTCACGGAGGCAGCGGGTGGCGTGTGCTCAGACCCACCGGTGTGGGGCCCTGGTGAACGCATGCTCTGGCTCAGCCACGGGAGGGCCCACGGCCGGGACAGGCTGCTGCGGCTCCACGTGCAGGAGTCTCTCTTCTCGGGAAGATGGCTGTGGCGCCAGCAGCTCTCCAGGCCCCTCTCCTGGGTGTTGGCTCAATGTTCTCAGCTGAGCCTCTTTTTTTTCTGGTTTAAGTTTATGTTAACCAATTTACACAGGTGCAGTAATGCACGAGAATTACCACTACCCAAGAGTTCACTACATACAGTTGAACTTATTTTTTAATTGATTTCAGAGAGGAAGTGAGAGGGAGAGAGAGAAACATCAATGATGAGAGGGAATCATTGACCGGCTGCCTCTCGCACAACCCCTACTGGGGACCGCGCCCGAAACCCAGGCATGTGCCCGGAATTGAACTCTGACCTCCTGGTTCCTAGGTAAAATGCTCAACCACTGAGCCACAGGGGCTGGGTAGCTGAGCCTCCTACGTCACCTCTTACTTCGCTGTCACCGTAGAAGTGCAGGCGTTGCTCCCAACTACTTTTCTTTGGCTAACGCAGGTCGCATAATGATGCCTGGTTTTACTGGGACGGGGAAGTATGGTCCATCGGTGGCCCAGGGGCAGTGAGATGCAAATGATAATAAACGTTGTAATGTCTGCTCAGTGACTACGGGAACACGCTTGAAAATTAAAATGAGGTTTGAGGAATGTGTGCTAAGATGCTCTCTCTGAATGGGAAAACCACCCCATTAGATTTAAAAAATAGACGACAGGCTTTCCACTTCCGGCCACGAGGGGAGCACAGGCCAGCCGCTCCCCTTGAAGAAGACACAACACATGAAATACAGTTTCAGACACTCGACAGCAGCAGAGCAGGACTCTGATCACTGGGGGAATGGAAACAGGCCAGCCCCACGATGGCCCCAAATTACTGCTGGAGGAGGTTCCAGGCTCAGTACAGGGCGGGGAAACCAAATAGAGGTTCATGGTCTCGCCGTGTCCGGGAGACAGAGATCAGCGTTCAGGGTGACCACAGTGGGTAGGACTTGCAGGGCAGCGTACAGGAGAGGAGAGGAAAGAGAGATCAGATGTAAGTGAGAGAGACAGGCAGGCAGTCGGTTCAGATCTGCGGGCGAGTCCCCTAGAAACACTTTGGCTGAACATGGTTCTGCGCACGCATGAGAGGAAACCAAGTGAGCACAGTGACTCCATCCCCAGAAACGAAAAGGGCGGAGGCTGGGCGGCCACCAGCCAAGGAGTAGATGTCCCAACGCAGGCCTGGGCCAGGGCCTGGAGACAGGCATCCTGAGCAGCACGCAGGCCTGTCCTCTGCAGCCAGAGGGAGCCACCGCCCATGCACACCCAGCTGTCCTCCTCCAGGGGGGCTGGGCCGCCTGGGGCTCTGCTCCCGCCAGGCGACCTTGTCCAGGTCTCTGTGTCCGGCCTCACCTCGCTTGCTGGCTGCTGAGGGGTCCATCTCTGCTTGCTGGTTAGTTCGAGATCAACAAGGGTACATAGTAAAAAGAGGGTGTCGCATTTGCCCGGGTTACAGCTGCTATGCAGCTCACCTTTCATCGCCTGCCGGGTGAGGTGCCTGGAGCAGCCGGTGTGACCTGGGGGCCAGGCCCTACTTTTGAATTGGCGGGGTTGACGGATGGAAGTGGGTTATCTGTGATTGCTGAGCGGGCCCTGAAGGCTCCCCCAGGTTCCATGAAGAAGCGGCCCAAAGGCCCCTGCCCTGGCCACACTCCTTCCTCCCCGCCTGCCCGTGGCGCCCTGGGTGTTGTTTTCAGCGGATGGCCACAAGAAGCGATGACTTAAAAAAATCACACACGAACACCAAAAAGTGCTTTGAAAAATGGTTTGAGAATTTACTGTACAGGTTTTTTAAACAATTTATTTATATGTTTGCTTCTACATGCTCTTACATTTGTGTAAAACATTTATACATATTCTTTACAATTTGTACATATATTAAATGGCTATATCATAAACACGGTTCTATGAGATTTTATAAAAGAAAAATCAGGGGAAATTACTTATAAAACATTAACAAAAACCCGTGACACTGAAGAACAAGAAGTTCTCATTCGCGTCCATCTGATTTCCTCTTCTACTTATTTTTTGGTTTCACTTCATTCATGCGGCCCAACGTTCATTTTCTGTAACAGCGCGATCAGGGCAGAGCGAAAGCCGTGGTGATCACGGAGTCAGTAAGGCAAGAGTGCAGGCGGGACGTCCGCAGGAAGACAGTGTGCGGGGCGCTCAGGCCGTTAACTGAAGTACCAGGACCAGGAAACCCCAGGGATTGGCGCACGTTATTCCGGCTGCCACCCTTCGCGGCTGCTAAGCTTTTCCATTTGGTGGGGAGGGGCAGCCAGGTCACTGGTTTCCATCTGTCCGGTAACACCAACAGGCCCACTGTCTGCACCCAAATCAAGTGGCCAGTCCTGCTCTCACTTCTCATTCTGCCTGACTGGGCAGCTGAAGACTAGACACAGGCAAGAGGCTGGCGTCTTCTCGCCCGACCAGGAGGAGCGCTCGCTCCTTCCTGAGCAGTCAGCTCAGGGGTCAGCAGTCCCCCACGTGCCCTGTACTGGGTAGAGCTGGCCCTGCTGAGGAAGGACTAGCAGGAGGGAATGCCCTCCTCCTGGCGATGCCCTCCAAAACCTCCTGGCTGCGGGCGGCGGCATCGCTGCAGGGACCGCCCGTCCCAGCCCCGCAGCCCCTCCGCCTCCTTTCTGAGAACGCAAGCACATGAGTCGTAAATGTGTCAGTGAAAGGCATGTGGGTTTTCCTAAACGGACAGGAGTTCCAAGGCATTGAAAAGAATTATAAAAATATATACAAACGTATTTTTTTTATTCTGGCATATTCCATATTTTTAAGAAAGCAATTAGTAACCATCTGGCCTTGGGTAAGAACTGGAAGATTGTGGGCTTAAAAATTACAAATTTATGTAAAATATAAGTGGGGAAACCTCTAATTTTCCATTCAAAATTCTGGTAATTTTAAATACTTTCCAAAAATAGAGATAATTTCCACTGGTTTAAATAATGGCTGTAGAAATGAACAAAAGAAGGCTATATAACTGATGCGTTTAGGTGAGTAGGAAAGTGTAGTTTTTTGCAACTGTTTCTCTTGGTGTTGATTTCTGGATGGTGGGGGATCAGACTGCACTGCCCCAGGTCAGAGAGAAGCACGTGGGAGTTTCTTCATGTTCTGTTCCGTCTACATCACAGGGAAGCGGCCGAGGGCCTGCCTCAGCTTCTCTGCAATCTGGTGGGGAAAGAGAAGGCTGAGATATCACCTCCAAACAACTTCACAGTGACAGGTTATTCCCAGCTCTTCTGAGTTCAACATGGTAACAATCTCCAACTCTTGGGTCTATGCATCGGCGCTCCCGCTGCTGTGGGAGAGACCGCAGGCCCGGGACCAGGCTCGCAGGGGAGGGCCGCTCCTCCCGGGCCCTGCTCTGTGCACAGCAGCATTTCAAGACCATCCCCTTTCCCTCCGTTGCGGCTCGAGGATCCCTCCACCTACGAGCTCCAAGACCCAGCCGAGGGGCTCGCCCCGGGCTCACACCCCTCTGCTACCTCAGGGCAGACAGTGTCACCTTCCACATAAAGCCACTGCTGTCTCCCCAAGGACACATGCCCCGGAGGACAGAGGTCTCAGTCATCCCTGGATCCTGAGCGTGTGCAGTAAGTGCTTAGTGTGCAACACTGGAGAAATGTTTGCTCCGTGAACAAATGTGCACATTTTAATAATAACTGTTAGACCTAACAAAGACACATAGTTTCTTTTATATGCATGTATATATACATATGTGTATGTGTGTGTGTGTGTATATATACATACATATACATAATACATTATATACATATATATATTATACTGATTTCAGAGAGAAAGGGAGAGAGAGAGACATCAATGATGAGAGAGAATCACTGATTGGCTTCCTCCTACACGCCCCCACTGGGGATCAAGCCCGTAACCTGGGCATGTGTCCTGACCAGGAATCGAACCTGGGATCTTCAGTCTGCAGACTGACACTCTATCCACTGAGCAAAACTGGCTAGGGCAACACACAGTTTTCTATTCTGAATTACAATGGCATTAATAATTAAACCTCACTTGGGCTTGAGAATTATTTAGCAAACTGACATCAGAATTTCAAGAACTGTCCTTCAATTACTCTCTCACACAGAACACAAGGGCCTGCTATTTTAACACAGGGTGCAAGGCCACCATCCAATGGCACCGATGAATAAAGTGCACAGTGCATGGCACAGGAGCGCACCCTAGGGGAGAGCACTGCTTCGGAATCCTTTCTGTACACTTGTCTCCAAAACCAACTGTTCCAACCCACAGGCACAGCTGCATCAGGCACATCAACCCAGCTCCTTTCGAGAACCGTGGCGGGGACAGACTTTTTGGCAGTGTCCAGTCCAAAGACGACACACGCAGGGATTGAGTCTGGGGCCTGCCTACTAAAGCCCTGGGCAGCCATGAGATGATACCATGCAACGGTGGAGGACCTAGCCAGAACAGGGCGGCCAGCACACGGACAATTATAAAGTGACAGCACTTGTCTTCAGATGGCTGACTTCTCATCTCCATGCTGGAGCCTGGCTCTCTGGTAAACAGTGAAGTCACGCAGTGGCACAAAACTTTACGTTCTCATATTTTCTGAATGACATATTTAAGGCCTCGCTCTCTCTTTAATCTCCTCTCCGCAGTCCCCTGGTGCACTGAGACCTCAGTCACAAACAGAGGCTGCTTGTGGTGCCCTGAGTGGTGCCAGGCTCCTTCCCGGCTGAGCCCACTGGGTGCAGGGTGACCTCATCCATTCAGCAGTGTTCCCTGTGCACAGAGAGGCAGTGAGGGAGGGAAGGAGCCACACAATATGGTCTTCTCGGGGCCTCACCACTGGCACCCGATCCCCCTTCTTCAAAAGAAAATCTTTATTTTAACCCAGTGTTATTAAAAACGGAAAGGCAGAGGTAATTAAAAGATTAAAATAAACCCTACGATATATTTAGCCTCTTTGGGTTTAACACTTAGGATTAAAAAATTCAAGCAGATTAACTTGATTTGGTCACAGTGATTGACCAGGAACCCTCCCCTCGGCACAGACGGCGGGCGGAAGGGCGACTCACCGTTTCATAGAACTGTACCTGCTGCTCCAGGTACAGGCGGATGACGCTGTTGTAGTCATAGATCCGGTTACTGTGGAAGTGATTCATCTCCGCTACAACCAAAACCAGCACACGAGTCAGTTCCCCGACTCCACGATGACCCGGCTTCTGGCTCCGCTGCGGCTCCTCACCAGCCAGGCTCCTCTGGTTGGCCTCAGCGCAGAGCCAGCTCTTGACAACTCATTTTATAGAGAGACCAGAAAAGCCACTGAACAGTGAGTGGCAAACACCACTTCCGAGTAGATGGATGACTTTTGTTGATTTGTATATTAAATACTATGAAACTCAATACCGATCATCACCCAAATACGGACTGTTCTAGGCCAGCGAGGGAGGAAACTGACGTGGGCATATTCTCCGCAGATGACTGCAGTTCCCAAGTTCATGTGTGTTTATGGGGGACCTAGCCAGGCACCCGGTGGGCTGACGTACCCACTCACAAAGGAATCCCTTCTCACAGTGTCTCTCGGCGCCACCCCCTCCCACCACGGCCGCAAGGCCTTCCTCAGCACAGCGGCCGCTTGCCTTCCCCTTCCACTCTCAGCCTCGAAAGCCAACTGCTGGCATCAACTCCTGCTAGCTGTTCTGAGTTCTGTATTATCTGAAGCTCTTCGTTTATCTATCTGGATTAGCTCGGAGACAAGTTCAATACCAAATTCCCTATTTCAAGCCCTTCAACACCCATGTCTGCAATCCAGGTTCCCACCCCTGCTCTAGCTGTCCTCGTTCTGGAATCTCTCCTACGCCTCCTCTCCACGAACTCCCCAGCCCCGAGGTGCTCCTTGGAGGCCAGCGGGCTGTTCTCTGCCCCAGCACATCCTCCTCAGGCCCTCCAAGCCTCGCTGCACAAGCAGTGGTCCCTGGGCTGGGCTGGCGAGCCAACTGCCCCTCCAGTGTATCCCATGTACCTGCAAACTTCTCCCTTGAGCATTTTTTCTCTCAGAACCTTTTAATGACTTTTAAACGCCCATATCAAGTCTAGACTCTTTCAAGGCCCTCCACAATCACCGACGCTTCTTCCCAATAACCGACAAGCACGCTTCATTCCCAAAGGCCAGCGGCATCGTTCTGCACCATTTCGTATGCTTCGTTCATACCTAGAGCATCCTTCTCTTCTCCTTTGCCCATGAATATCCGATCTGTCCCCCAAAACAGGACAAACCCAATCCCCACTCCTAGGAGAACACTCAACTATGTAAAAATCAATGAAATCTTCCTTTTCCTAAGAGTCAAACTGTGCCTGGCTGCTACCTCCAAACGCCTTTACACACCATGGTCCTCAGCCATGGAGGCGACAGGCTGCTAATAGCTGAACGCGGGAATTGGACGGAGCATTAGGAAGGTGCTGATATGAAGGCTGGAAAAGGTACCTTCAATGTCTCTGAAATAATAAAAACATGCAAGTTTAATCAAACCGCCACTCATAGGCATGTCAGGTAAACGTCCATTTTCATCAACACTGGGATCCTGCGAACAAGTGGCTTATGAGGATGTTCCAAATCAGCTCTGACTTAGCTGTGGCTCACATCTGGATTTCTCTCCAGCAAGGAAAACAGCAACTTCGCTGGGAAAACCAGGCCCACCCGCCACCACAGACTTCCTCACCTTGTAGCGCGTAAGACATGGTGCCGACGCGCTTCACCATGTTCTGTTTGTCCTGGGGGGTGATTTTGCTCGTTGCAACCAGTTTATCACTTTCTTTCACTTTTTCTATTGCTGCCTGTGAAATACAGAAATTAAATGGCATCAGTAAAACAGGTGAAAGGACCAGTCCTCAGCTGAAAATATAACAAAGCAACCACCTCTTTTATAACGGACTTGCTGCTGAACAGGACAAAGTCCCTACAAGGTAACAGGAAAGCATCCAAACACAACTTCCTTGAAGTCACTTGGATGCAAAAGGTAACTATTCTTGAGGCGTGTAACTAAGCGATGATTTAGTTTGATGCTACTAAAAGCAGGAAACCCGACAGCACTCCATTTCCGGAGTCTCTGTGGGCACCGCCAGGGTCAGAGCAGTTCCCAGCAGGATGCAGCGTCCCCACAGGGAGGACGGTCCTGTGTGCACCGCACAGCGCTCCCTGCGCTCGGGGAGGCCTGACGGGCCGGTGCTTAGGCAAGCAGGCTGGAGGCTGGAGCTCTGCTGTGATTTCCAAAAGATGCACCGAGTCCATTTTAAATTAATATTTAGATGGAAGTAGCTGTGGAAGCTGCTAAACACCTCACAGCGCTCATTCCCTAAGAGCCACCTGGAAAGAGCACCTCCACACTCGCAGATAAATTCGGCTCCAAGCCTAGAACTCTCACTCCGTGGGATACATGCCTCCAACAAGTTAACTGATCTGAGTTTTTTAACTGAGATTTTAATTTTACTTTTTTTCAGTTGTATTGGAATGTAATGACATGTAGCATTGCATTAACTTAAGGTGTGCAACATAATGACCTGTTACATGTGTCTATTGTGAAGTGGTCACCACAGTAAGTCTAGTAAACATCCATCTTCCTCACAGAGTTACAAGTATTTTTCCTTATGAGAATATTTAGGATCTACTCTCCCAGCAATTCTGCTTCTGTTACATATTTGAAGGAAACAAAATCACATCTCAAAGAGACAGAACACTCCCAGGTCACTGCGGCACGATTGAAAATAGCCAAGATACAGAAACAACCTAAGTGTCCATCAACGAATGAATGGATCGGGAAAATGTTCTGAGATTTATATTAAGTTATCTAAGTTGCACAAAACTTCTTATTTACGTATGCGATCTCTTCATACTTTAATTATACTAGCAAAGCCAAATGCTAGAATGGGCTCCGACCAGGCCTTCGTAGAGCGTTCCCTGGTGAATCCCAGCACAGCACTGTGCCCCGGACTCCCACAGTTGTGAGATGCCCAAAGTCTGAGGTAATACACAGATTTTGAAACAGAGACAAAAATTAACCAGAAACAAAGTTTGAGTATACCCTAAGTCAATTTTTAAATTTAGTTTAAAAATACCTTTTTGACGGGAATTACAGTTTCCTTTTTGTTAATATGTATGAACATACAATGCCAACACTGGCCATTTGAATTTTAACTAGAAAACCTGTGGTTATTTCATTTGCCAGGGCAGGACCTTTGAGGACTTGCCCAAGCAGCTGACAAGGTCTCACTGGTAAGAGAAGGATCATTCCTATGACCGTCGTGAATTTCAAACATCATGACACTAACTGCATGCATAAAGGTATACTTTTCAAATTTTTAGTTCCTTCAAAACAATGTTTTCTTAGTAACAAAAGAAACAAAAAACTATTCTTATATCCAAACATGTGATGGGACCTTGCTAGTTAAACTCCCCCAAGGACTTCCAGGGGCCCCAGAAAGCTTCCCGACTCAGAAGGGTGAGAGGTGGGCCCGTCCTGCAGCTCGCGATTTACCCACACCGTCCGCTGCGAACTTCTACAGCCCAGTTACCTTGTGAGCGCCGATAATGTCCGGGAAGCAGCCCAGGAAACCTTTATATTCATGATTACACTCCATCAGGAAATGGAGGTCTTTCTTTGGCTATAATAAGACACAGGTTGGTTGTTACTGGCAGAGGAATCCGGACAGCCAAGGAAAAGAAACGCCTCTCTGAGGACTATATTAGCCAAACCCTCCAGGTACTACAGTAAGCTATTGAGTGTTAAGCATTCAGGTTAGTTTTCCTACAAGAAAATAACCCCAGAGTTCTATACCCTCTACCATAGGCTGTGAAGAAAATTGTAACACATCAGGTAATATTTTAGTGGGTCTGAGGTGGCCCAAAGTACAACCCCATGAGGAAAAGAATGTTAGGACTACATGTTCACATACAAGGAAATAAGATGTTATCGTTTAATGTCTAAATTTTAGCAGAAAAGGTAAAAATACTATAAGTCTAGTAATCATTGTAAGTGGCAACTTTAACATTTTCTATTTTTCTGAATTACAATTTTTAATAGCTATGTCATGCACAGTTCTAAAAATTAATCTTTTTTACAAGTAGCAGAGAGTAATTAATGACATGAGTGTGTGTCCATAGGCACATGTGTACATACATGTTTTAAAAAGTTATCTGAAAAACAATTTTTTTTTTTAATTCAGGGATTTGAAACAACTTAGATGACTATGTCCTTGGAGGAAGTGATGTCAGTTATCTGTGAGAAGTGGGACGGGCTACTAGAGGCTCCCGCCCACACCCTCTCGGTGCCAAGGGCGGGCTCTGTGCCGGAACTGGAGCAGGAGCCTTCGCCTTATTAGCTGCTGCTCATGCGAGTGAGCTACTTCCAAGGCTAGTTCCTCCGTCGCCACTTTCCAGATGGGGAAACTGAGGCAAGTAGTAAGAGTCCAAAGGGGACTTGAGCTGCTCATGCGAGTGAGCTACTTCCAAGGCTAGTTCCTCCGTCGCCACTTTCCAGATGGGGAAACTGAGGCAAGTAAGAGTCCAAAGGGGACTTGGGCAGTGCTCCTTCCTGTACACACTGATCCCTGACAGCTAACGACAGATCCAAGCCCTCGACCCTAGAGGGTATACTTTTAGATTTCTTGATGACAACTTTATCCATCACTTTAGCTAAATCTAAGAAGCACTATTACCAAATACAATTTAAAACGATACATAGGAGTAGGAAAGAAGAGGATAACCAATTGAGCATTTGTCTTAAAACTGATTTTAAATTAAGTATGTAGGTTAGATGGCATAAAATATTAAATGGAAGTGTGTGGTTATGTTAATACCTGCTCTGCCACGAGACTGGCAATTTCTTCATAAGTCTTTCCTGCTTCTGTTATTGCATCATTGAGATCTGTTTCACCTGAAAGTCATCACAGTTACCAGTGGTTGTAAGTTATGTCTTTCCATTCATTTTATTTAAACATTTTACGACAGAAAATTTCGGACTTTTTAAAACTGGAATGAATCCCTGTTTATCCATCACCTAGCTTCCCAACGAACAGTTCATGGGCAATATTTTTTCACCTATCCCATCCATTCCCACCTCCCCTTTCACTGGCCACATAACATTTCATCCATAAATGTTACTTAGAAGATAAAGACTCTTTAAAAAATAAGAACAATAGTGTATTACAGTGAAGAAAATTGTCCCTGAGATGAATTATCAGTCAGTGCGCAGCTTTCTGGCAAAGAAGCTGCAAGAAAATACACTTAACAACCCTCCACTCTTCTCGAAAGTCGCAGGGTGCGGTTGCACAAGTCCTGAGTGGAGCACCAGCCAATCTGAGACGGTGCCAAGGTGCTACTGCAGCGCTCCTGTTTGTCTGCAGGAGCCTGAGCGGGCGGCAGTCTGGGTAAGACACTGACGCTCAGAGGTAAGTAAAGCCCTACCTTGGTAAGCACTGGAACTGAACACGGTTGCTAAGCTCTGCAGGGCCTTGCCTATCTTCTGATATTCCTTGGGTAGTGCTGAAAGAGAAAAAGAAATACATCGTCAACTCGTCCTCCCCGCAAACTGAAGTGGGACTCAGCTATTTTCTAAAAGTGATGACTTTTATAATAGTAGAAATTTGAAGCGATTCAAAAGAATCTATATGCTATAATAAAATGATTGGTTTTTAAATATTTTTTTCCATCAAATTCTTTCAATTTATAATTAATCACTTAATGACTGGTGCCTGCTATTATAAACCAGCACCACTGCCCGTTCTCATTCACTGAATGACATCTGAGTGGACAGGCGGCTGTTAGAGGATGATTCTAGTGTGCGCAGTGCTATCTATCACACAGGCCACCTGCTCCATCACAGCGACCCCTCCCTCCACCAGATGCAGACACCCCTCCACCTCATGGGGCAGGAAGATAAGGGTCAGATAAGGAAACTGACGTGCTCAGGGTCACATGGCTAATAAAACTGTGGATGTGGCACTTCTGACTCTAATTACATGGCTTTCCCCACTCTGCTATGCACATATGAATAATTATTTGCAAAACAACTCATAGCAATAAGGTGTGGAGAAAAAGGCAGTGGGACTTCCCAGGACTGGGCAGGAGGGATCTGTTTTCTCATCCGTTGTGTGGATGGTAGAGGCCCACTCGGTGGCTGGACAGCGAGTACTCCAGACATGTGGGGCCACAGCTTCTGCTGCGACTCCGCCCCTGTGCCCTGTAACAGGCAGGAGGCCCGACCACACGTAAGTAAGTGGGCGGCTTGTTCCTGCTGCGCTTTATCACAAAGACGGGCGGCCAGATGGGCCCGCAGGTCGCGCCTGCCCATCCCTGATGTAAGGCTTCACTTTCAAGTCTGGGTCACAGACCTCAGAACTGTCCTCACCTGCTTTGTTATTTTAATATTTCACCCTCAAGTCACCCCACATTCAGTTTCTTGTTCATTAAACTTGTTATTGGACTTCAAATAGATGCTTTCCCGTTATTTAGAAGAAAAATTCCACCTTTAAAAAAATCTTCCAATAACAGATAATTTAACCTCTTTCCTACGCTGAGTACCGAGGCATTGATATAATGTGAAAGTGGGTATGTATTACTTTTAGACTTCAAAGCCACGCCATTTTTATTTTTAGAAAATAGCTGGGGATGACCAGGATTCTTGTAGGTTTCAGTGACAGACTAGCAGGACCTCGTTCTCACGAAGTTAACACAGCTGGGCCCTAACTGCAGCTCAGAAACCCGATTTCTCCGGGACTCAGAAGGCTGTGCTGGCAATAGGGCAGAATTGATGTAAGGGGAGAAGACTCCATCCTCTGAGGCGGTCGGACCCCCTGTGTGGACACTACACTGCCGTGGGTGTGGCCTCTGGGCCTCTGGGCCTGAGGGAGGAAGGGCGGAGGCTGTGGCAGGACCCACAGTGGACTCCTGTGTCTAGGCCGGGCTGCCTGGCACCAGAGCTCGTGGTTCTGGGAACACAGCAAACATAGCTCAGCAGGACAGTCTGCACACACAGGGAGTGAGGGGACAGGAAGTCCCGGGGGACACGGACACAGAGGCAGGAAGCACACCCCGTGCCACTGACCCTCACAGTGCTCCCAGTCTGACCATCTTATATTTCCTACCAGTCACATTGGCTTTTCCTAAAAAGTAGGGTGTTAGTCAAATCAACACCTTGCCAGTGGAGGAAGATTGAAAACTAAATGAATGAGCAACAAGCATTCTCCAAACATGCAGAAAGGATACACTGTTCATCGATCACAAAACCCCAGTAACTGGAAATATTTAAGCAAACGTGGTGTTTTTTAAGAGTTCTTGAACTGGCTTTGTTAGAGCCAACTGTCTGCTGTTGACTTGGGCTGAGAAGTGAGGTGCAGCAAAGAGCTCCTTCTGCCTAAAGGGTGAGGCCCCAGGGTGACCAAGGCCGCAGAGCGGGCACGCACTGCCCCGCGAACCCGGCAGTGCCGGCGGCGCACTCACGTCCGGTGCATCGCTTCCAGTGCTCCTGCCCCACGGTCAGCAGCTCCTTCACGCCGTCGTCCATGGCCTTGGTGAATTTACCAACAGCTTCGCACTTCTGTTCTCTGTGGGGCAAAAACACAAGAAGGTGCCTCCTGGGCTCAGCCACCGCGTGTCCCGGGTCCGGTGCAGGAGGAGAGACATCACGGGGGCCCGGAGACTCACCCCGCAGGCACTGTGTCTGGCATCAGAACGACTGCCCTTTAAGCACATTAGTCTTACAAACAGGCTTGATTCAGGCTTGTAAAGAACGACTTCGAAATGTGCCATTTCTATTTTACTCTGCTTCCTTCTTCCCTCAATTCCTTGTGAATGTCAAGTAAAACTATTCTGAATCGAATAAAATCCTCATTTCTTGAATATCTTACTTAGGAAAATTCAATCATGGGCAGTACCATGGAACCTATAGAATAACAGGGGCTGCTAATGGCAGGTGTTCGTTCTCCCAACAGTGAGTCACAGCAAACAACCTGCACGGACGTCCACCTGCGCAGCGACTTGCACCAGGTGAGCCGCGAGAATGTTTAAGACATGCGGTACCTGACGGCTTCGTCAGGGCACTGACCTCTTTCCTGTAGATTGCCAAATTAAAAAATGACAACAGCCAACACAATAGCCACTTGGTGTGAATGAATCAAAATTATAGCTATTTTTTATTTTTGTCAGTTTGACAAAAAATATAATATGTTTTTTGGTGTGCCTCAGGTTTTAGTAATTAGTTTATGTGCATGAGATGAAAAATATGGAAAATCACTGCTCTAAGGTGATACTGAACATATCAGTTCTTTAAGGATGTAAAAAGTATTTACCAACCTGAAAAAATCATCACAGGATAGTTTTTTTTTTTAAATTACGGAACGCTTCATGAATTTGCGTGTCATCTTTGTGCAGGGGCCATTATAATCCCTGTATCGTTCCAGTTTAGTGTACGTGCTGCCGGAGCGAGCACACAAGACACTCTTAAATGTAAAAAAGATGATTAATGGGAATGCATGTTGTGAGGTCATTTTTGTTTAAACAATTTTTCCTTTAGATACATATGTACCAAGGAGGGTTTAGGAAACTAGATCTTAAACATGTTTAGGCCAACATATTAACACTGATTTTCTCTCTGGGTAGTTGGAAGATTGTGTGTGGTGTGTTTTTTTTTCCTTGTCTATGTTTTCGGTAACACATATGCAATGATTTTATAAAAGGTTTCTTAAAATAAAAATAAAACTCAAGACCTTTTATTAGTTCTTATATAGAAAAGGAACTACTGCAAATTCTCAACCAAGCCCACATTAAAGAAAAGATGACATGTTAGACACAGGTAAAGCCGGCCAGAGAGTACTTCCTTTGAGGCACGGCTCAGAGACTCGGCTGTGGCCTATGCGGGTGTGAGCCAGCTGTGGCCTGTGCGGGTGTGAGCCGGCTGTGTGGCCTGTGCGGGTGTGAGCCGGCTGTGGTCTGTGCGGG